CCACTTCTCATTGGTAACACTCTGTTTTTATAAACAGCAACCGACGCTTCACTTATCACATGTAATCGATCTCTTCCCAGAAAAAAAAATGGTTATCGGCGCTTTTTCGCAGAAAGAACTGTAAGAACGCAGTATCGATTTCATACTTTTCACTGGAGTATCACTTTCATTTTAGAACTGCAGAAGTGTTACATTTTGTTTATCAACCAAAACATCGGCGTTTCTCTCACGACATGTCACCAATCTGACAATGTATATAGACAGTGTATAAAGCTTTTTTCATTCAATTGTAAGTTTCAGTTACGAGCAATAAGACATGGAGCGAGCAAAAGAATGTATACATCGAAAATCGATCAAGCGCAAGGAGTCCCTTGTCATTATGTCCATTATTGAGGGAAAAAGCGAGATATTGAGAATGTCCTGAGGAAAAATATCAAAGTCACCAACGTATTCGTCATCAATGCCATCAAAATATAAGCCATAAGATATCGTGTTCATAGTGAATAGTGCTAATGCATTTTATTCGCCGCGGAAAAAAGTGAATAATGATAAAAAAGCTTTTTTGTTCTTTTTTTCCAGAAAGTGCTGTCAGCGATATCTTTAATGGACATCAGCTTATCGATTGCAAGTTATTAGCTTTAGTTTTTAGTACATACAAAAAAACCAATATAAAAAATGTGAAACCAATATCAAAATTTTCGTTTGCATCACTATATATGTACTTTCTTTACTTCCCATTCGTCTTATCCTTTACCTCGACGTGCTACTAAAAAACAATGTAAACGTCATAAAAAAATATATATCGTAATTTTATTCTATTCATTCATTTTTTTTCTATCTTTCCTTCGATATCACATTACACACTCCGATATCATTGCATTCCATCTTTTTCTAACATGCGAGCTCTTGTTATCTACGCATTTTTTGTGGTGTCTAGAGTTCTGTACGTTTATAGTCTGCAAATATTTATACTCGCCTGTAAATGTATCCTAGGCAGCCTTGCTATAACGAAGGATGCTTCTCAGCATCAATCTTTGTCAAGTCTTGTCCGCGCAAAATTGTCTTATCTTGTGTGAAGCTGTTGTGTTTTGAGCAAAAAGAAAAAAATAAAATTTTTTGAGCCAAACCTGTTAAAAAAGGAAATTGTTACTAGTGATGTAGAAGTGCAGGAGAACGATTCGATCGAAGAGGCTGAAGAGATCGAGGAGAAGGAGATCGAAGAGGAGGAGGAAGAGAAGAAAGAGAACGCTTTTACCAGAAGAAAGCACCTCTGCTGGAGAAATCCAGGAGGGCTCGCCAAATTTGAATGACCCAGAGGAAATTCCCCAATTCATGCTTGACTTTTTTGATATGATTAATAAATTAGACTTAGGTGTCTCCCTCCTTAGCTGTCTGACGATCGGAAAGAAGGAGGAGATAGAGGAGAAATAGGAATTTGTTTTAGCGGAGGAGAAGAGAAGGAGGAGGAGGAAAAAAGAAAGAGGAGGAGAAGAAGGAGAAAGAGGAAGAGAAAAAGGAGAAGGAAAAAGAGGAGGAGGAAGAAAAGAAGAAGGAGGAGGAAGAGGTGAGTAAGAATCTTTTTATATTTTCTCTTAAAAAAAAATATCGGCACTTTTTTATTCGCTTTATCATACTATAACGCATTTTGGGATGGGTGCAGGGCGGCGGCGGTGGTGGTGGCGGCGGCGGCGGTAGTAAAAAAAATACGGAATAACGGAACACATAGTGGAACGTTATCACATGTACCATGTTTATGTAATCCATTATCTAGGATCCTATGTTTACATAAACAGTAATATCCGGAGTCCTATGTTTATGTAAACAGCAATATCGGGATCTTTTCCGCGCTAATTCCCTGCGCCTACCCCCCCCCCCTCTCCCCGCATACTTGCGGGGAACCTCAGAACTCTAGCTTAAAACCGGCTATATACTCCTACTGGCGTTTATTCAATTTATGACTTATATGCGGATATACAGATTTTTCGATTTTTACCTAAAAATAACAATTCACTATAACTTTGAATGACTCCCTCAGAAATATTCCTTTTCTATATTCCAAATACTAAAAAAAACACTACATGAGTTAAATACTATATACAGGATGCGCCAGCTAAATCCGATCGGAATTAAATTTGAATTTTTTTGTTACAAATGACTTTAGCACACTGCAAAAAATATTCAGTGCTTTAGATCGGAAATAACCGTTCTAGTGCTTTCTCTGATCAATTTCGATCGGATTCAGGATTATTCAATGAAGTGATGAACACTTTTATCCGTTGAAATGTAATTTTCGATTACATGTGAACGTAATATGAAACGTCATATGCCTACCAGTTAAAATTTCGTCAGATAAATCTAACCTGATCAGACATTAGACTTGAACGGATAAAAAGAGAATATTTTATCCAATCAAGTTTTATATTTGATCACATATGCTGTATCCGATCCGATGAAATATCCCATGAAAAAATAACCAATTAATTGGAAGGCGTCCACAGAATAGTCGGTCACGTGATCAGCGACTATTTCCATAGGCTCTCTAGGCTAGCATTACCACAATATGTATTTGTGGCATTGCTGATGATGTTGAGATCATCAAGCGAGCACGTATCTCTAGCGCGAATTTGATTTTTATTGCACATTCTTTCTTATTCTTTGCCGTCTTCTTGGTTTATTCTTATTTTTAACCGTATAAACTGTAATGTCTCTATCGAAAAGAAATATATGACGACGAAATTTTTCATGGTATTAAAATCCAGGATATAAAAACAGTGACTTTTTATCTCATTTTCATTAAATATTGTTTTAATGTTTAATCAATGTTTTCTGTTTTTCATTATTATGATTATGGAAAAACACGATCTATCGGATAATTTGGTCAGTTAAGGGGATGCTGGAGCCGTATTACCGATAAAACTATTCCAAATTCGATAGTAGTGACTTCTTTCATTCATTTCTTATACTTATTACATATTGTGTCTCAAACGCATTCATCTAATCTTATCTAATATATTGCAACATCTTTTAAAAGATTGAACACCTATTGTTAGATACATCTATGTTGTTTACCATTCCGAGTTTTCGTTCAGCGTTCATATACACGTCATTCATAGATCAATGTAAATCTTTCTTTTGAAGCTTTTAGTCTTAGTTTCATAAACTCAGTATTGTTTGTACATGCGCTGAGTGGTGCACTACGGTGTGGTCCATACGAGCTATAAAACTTTTTGTATTAAGGAAACATCTACGTCAGATAACAGCTCTACGTTGAAAACGAGTTGAAAAAATGTAAATTTTTTTCCGATTTTAGTATAAAATCTATTACAGCACTCCCAAATTTTGCGTCTACTTTAATCCTGTAAAAAGATTTTTGATTCCGTTTAGTAAATTTGAAGATTTATATCAATCGGCAAAGTCCTGGCAATTTAGCCACTTCAGCATCCCCTTAATGTTATTATCCCATCTAAAATATATGCATGCAAATACTTAATCGGACATAATCGATCGAGTCTGTTCAAATAGTAACAAACGGATATTTCTCATCGGACATTCCGATAAATCTATTTCCGATTAAATGTGACCGGATTTTTGATCAAAATAATCGTAAATATTCGTTTTTTGAAAGAATAATCCGATTATTACGATTTGAAAAACCTGTATATTTTTTTAGTGCAGTAGATGTTGGCACTGAGATAAATCAGATGTTTGATGTATGAAATGTGTATAACCTCAAAATATCGGAGTTAGTAAGATCAAGTGCGGAGTACAACTGAAGAGCGACGATAATTGAAGCGCTTCGCGCCGGACGTTCGCCGACTGAAATTATTCATCGAATATCCGCGATCGATTCTTTACAACATCGCACAAAAGTATACAGACGCGAAGAAGTCCGAAGAAAGTTCTGCTAATCCGGCAAGGCAGAATTATTCGAGAAAAAGCATTCCTTGCTTGATTTCAACCGGCTGTCATCCAAAGCTCAAGAGCTTATTTCGAAAGACTCAGGAGTCGCTTCGGAAATTATCTACCATATTAGGGATGAATGAGGCCACTTTCGAATCGACGAAGAGGATATACGTCTTATGTGTTCAAGATATGGCAAATGTTGTCTGAGAATGTTAAGGCCAAGAGAGTTAGCTGCAATTTGTTTCTTTATTCGTTGACACACGAAGCCGCGGATCGCCTCAGATTTTTTTCCGATAAGATTTTTACTGCTGATACAAAAGTGAACCAGAGGGATGACCGCCGACTCGCTCATAATCCTCAGGATGTCCCCGTAATAACCAGGACAAAGTTTCCGACAAATGTTCAGGTCCTAAGTGTCCAATGAGAGTGACATCATACCGCCTTATTTAAAAAAAAAAGAGAAAAAAGTTTATCTCCGAATTCTAAGAAATGTAGTGAATCCGTAGATGAAAATTACGACCTCTGGAAGGTCGTACATTTTTTAACAAGACGGCGCGCTAACTCACACAAACCATTTAGTGCAAAAAATTGGCTTTACTACAACATGGACATGTTTTGGTCCAAGGAATTCTGCCCTCCTAATAGTCTAAATTTAAATCCCTTAGATTATTTCGTTTGGGACGTTATTAAAAGGATGCCTAACAAGTTCAGGCATCCCAAAATGACAACTTTTCAAGCCACTATTCATGCAGCATTCATGAATTTAGACAAGGACGCAGGAGCAGTTAAAGAGAGCGTCCTCGCGCTTTAGGCAAGGAATCAGGATAGTGATCGCAGCAAACGAGGATTATACTGAGTAATAAAACTCAGAGAGAATCCTTCAAGCGATCAAAAAATTTTTGTATATTTTCAAGTTTTTTCTAAATAAAATGGCGTTTTAATAAATTGATTGTTTTGTTCAAATTTAGCTGATTTTACGCATCCTGTAAAAGTATTAAATTGGAGGCCGAAAGAATAATGTTACTGTTAAAATATTAAAAAAAGATACTTCTCGTTTTTCTTTTTTTTTCTTTTCTATCGAATTGAAGTTCACTTACCATTCCGAAATATTCTCAGACTGTCACTATGCATGGCATTACTACTGTAAACCATGGAGGCATCCAAATAACTGGTCACTTGGGACAATTGTTCTCTCGGGCCAAATTCACAGCCCTCCTTAGGAGCTGGTCCGCTTCTGAGAAATTCCAAACACCTCACACCCAAAGGACCATAGAAATTGTCGCGTAAATTCACTGCTATCGGAAGACACTCTGGATGCTATATAATTTACATATGCATATTAGAAGTAGGGTTATCAAATCTTATGTGGCCTAATGCTTAATATGATCTATTTGCTGTTTCTAGACATACGGTAGTGTCGGCATTAACAAAAACACATAGCATTTTAGCGTGACCATCAAGATATATATATATATATATATATATATATATAATCAATGCACAAAAAATTAAGAATAGGTGAAAAATATTGCAGAAATAAAAACATTGTAAATGAATATTACATATAACTGTAATAAGATATAAAATATAAAATACAGCTTATTTGTATCCATTGTGAGTTACGTCCAATCTATATTTCAAATTTTTTTATATTTAATATCATTACATTAATATTTTTACACTTAATATTTATTTAGTAATAAATTAAAACATAATAGGAAAAACCGGATCTCGTTGGAATAGTTTTTACAATTTCGGCATTAGATTTTTAAACCAATTAATTATTATAATTAAAATATATCAATATGATAGAGAGAATCTTTCTCTACATTTTCATACCAATAGTTATATACATTGTATAGTTTCTTTGCAATAGGGGAGACTGGGGCTAAGTGGACATCTTTTTTTCAATTGCAATTTTCAATAACAAAGTAAATGATTTTAGTCAAATAATTATTAGCGTTTTATAGAGTGGTTATAAGACAACAAAATGGCAATAAAAAGTTTTAGTGTTTGCAACTTCATTTCATTCATATACACAAAAAATGGTACTTCGGAAAATGAAATCTAAAAAATGCCAGAGGCTAAGTGTGCATTCCCCGCAGCTAAATGGGCACCATATTTTTTTGCAATATAAAATAAAAACACATCATTATGATCAAAATATCAAAAACTGTATTAAATTTTATTTCGAATATTTAATTTGAATCTTCTAATGCCATATCAGACAAATTTTTTTTCAATTTTTTTAGCTGCCGATGCAATTTTCATATTATTCTTTTTGACAGCTAACACAGCTTTAGACATCTTATCTTTATCGATGAGATCAGTTTTACACTTGTAATTGCGAACCATACTGTAATTAACACGAAAATATGATAAAAATATAATAAAAAATCGCGCGAGGTTAGGTGGTTTCATACTATTTAGACCCGATGGCTTGATGCCCTCTTAATATCAAACATATATTGTAACTTTTGACATAAATAAAATTTAAACAATTCTGAAAAAAAAAAGAAATAACACAAAGAATGAATTTTTACATAGATTTACTTATCTGAACAATTTTGAATTAAAAAAATAACAACCATCAGGATACATATTGTCTGAACGTTCGAAAAGTTACTTTTGACTATCGAAAACACGTTTGACTATTTGATCTAAACATAACAACGCGGCACCTAAACTAACTAAATTTCGTTGATAAAGAGATGCCATCTACAATATAAATTGGGATTTCATAAGATATATTTTTATATTTTTGCCACTCAAAATTCAAATGCTAGCTTAGCTCCGGTGTCAATTTAGCCCCAGTCTCCCCTAAAAAAAATACAATGCTGCATTATAACTTATGATATGTGGAATAAATTGGTATATATCACAGTATAAAATGCCTCTAAACTCTATATTAAACTAACAAAAACATAATAGAAAAGTAATAGAAAAAAAATTAGAAGGTAGATGTGTACTTCTTAATAAAAATTGTATTTTTTAAAGTTATTTTGTAATAATCAAATAGCAAAATATTACAGAAAAATATGTGTACATTATTTTAATTCTATCATATTTTAATATAAAAGCATTAAATATAAAGCGTTTTGTCAGAGTTAAATTGTAATTAAATGTTCATGCGAAACAGCGAGTTAACCTAACCTAACCTAACCTTTTCTTACGATATGAGCCAACGCACTCCATCCTTGCACGTGTCCGATTTTAATCATTTTATTATAACAAATTACCATTGTTACTTAAAATATCATATTGTATACTAACAAACGCTTTTCTTTTAACTATAATTACAGCAACAACTTTTCCATTATTTCTTTTATAAACACATGAATGGAACGCATTTGTCTCTTATGCCAATGAACCTCCTGGTCTCCTCTATTATTCATTTAGAAAGATAGCACTGCGATAAAATGCATTGTAATATTTTAACGCTGTTGCAGTAATATTGCAATGCGGTAAACTACAATGTAATAATTGATCGATATTGCTGTAATATTACAATATACTACATTGAATCATTGAATGATATTGCGGTAATATTACAAGATGATATATTACATTGAAATATTTGCACGATATTGCGGTAATACTGTTTTGCGATATGTCATACTGCAATATTTAAACTTTATTGTGTTAATAAAGGATTTTTTAACAAGAGATAATATTTTAAATTATTAAAAAAAATGCATTTTTTTGTAAGAAAGCTATGCCATTTTATTTCAATTCCAAATGTGATGAAAAATTTTGTCAAAAGGATGACCATTTGTAAAAAAAGACAAGGTGACCATTTGGCGGATATCATTTTTAAAACATAACCTCACAGTTTGTATTGGGATTGAAATAAAAATATCACAGCTTTCTTAAAAAAAAATGCATTTTTTAATAATTCAAAATACTATCTCTTGTTAAAAAAAACCCTTTACTTCAATGCGATATATCGTATTGCAATATTTGGACGATATTGCGATAATATTACATTGCAATGTATCACATTGCAATATTTGGACGACATTGTAGCAATATGGCATAAGGATATATGACATTGTAATATCTCAATAAAATTATAGCAGTATTACATTACATTATGATATATCGCAATGTGACATTTCATTAATATTTACGTAATATTGTATTACAAGTTGTAATATTGCAATCTCATTGAAATATTACTGCAATGTTACATACTATGTGGGTTTCTCTTGTCAATCTTTATTTTTACGCAAAAACACATCGATTCAGCGTTTTTTATCAAAATTTGAGTTCTTTTTAACATTTACCTTTATCACTAATCGTTCTATAACCTATTAATCAAATGGAATCAAGATGATGGATGAAAATACCTACATATCTACCCATACAGCACACTAACATTAAATCAACACCTCAGAAACGTTGATTCGTAATATTGTGAACATTGCAGTAACATGTCGCGAAATGTAGATTCAATGTTGAAGAGATGTTGTAGAAATGCATAATGTTTGTTGGATTGCAATGTCTGAGACATAAGAAATGTTCCTCATATTAATTAATTCAATTTTATTATTAAAATAAATATTATTGATTAACATCGTATTTCAGAACACATACGATAAAATTATAATTGAAAAAACCGCTTCCCCCTCATTTGAGAATTAATTTCCTTATTTTCCTAAGCGATCATCTATCCAATCTTGTACATCACCCAACGATGCTTAATCTCTGAAATCGAACTACAACTTCGATAATCCACAAACACTGAATGTTAGTAGCTGTATAATTGTAACATATACAGAGTCCATTATAAAAGTAATGCGCATCTGGAATGTTTCGGTTGCATTCTTTCCAAGTCGCACGCAAAACTTGATGGCGTATCGCTGTTCAAGCGAACGCTCCATTGCGCCGTGTTACAAAGTCGAAAAACACACTTCACGCGGAGGCACGTCTTTCCACTCAGACTGCTCGGAGCAAACTGGCGACCGGCTGCCTTGGAAGGCAGATCCCCCATCACATTTCCCGACCCATTTTACCCCGCTGCAATGGATATTCGCGTCACAATAAAATCATGCGCATTACTTTCATAATGGATCCTGTATATCGATATGTAGAAAGACCACGAACGAGGCCAATCGATATTACGCATCGGACCGGTCAACACAAATACTATACGTACATTCCCTGATAGCACGGAAAGTTACAGTTGTGTTGCAGGGATCTTCCAATGTGTCTCAATTGTATATCACATTTATAATATTTCTGAGGCTATCTTCTTTGAAATATTATAATTGCAATATTTCTGCAATTACCTTGATTAAAATTTTATGCCTGAAATGTTCCTGTAATGTATAGTTATTTCAACATTATAAATGCAAAGTTTCTGAGAGATTTCTGAAACTTTTTTAATTAATAAATGCAGATATGGCATTATCTATTCGATTTACCATGCTCACACACGCGCACGCACGCACGTACGTACGCAACATAGTGTTACATCCTATAAACGTTTTTCTTTTCGAAAGAATTAGCTCCACATCGCGATTATGATTGGCGTCTATAAGATTCTAATGGAGTCTTCTGATAACGATCTGACAGAACTGAAAAGAGGGACCGGACAAGCTCCGCGAAAAGGACTCGTAAACGTCAATCAACCCGGAAGGAACAACAACCTTAATGCAGAAAAATGACAAGATTGCAAAAAACATTATAAATGCACCGAAGTCACGCAGTAGTAAAAATCCAAGCTTTGTTGTCCCAGACTGACCAACAATTTCATCTCAAAAAAGCAGGCGCCACGTCGCGCTTAAAAAATCGAAAAATGGGATAACTTCCCACGGTAGTGTTATCTAAGATCGGACTCGCGACAATGATTAGGTTGTACCCTGTACGCAAAACTAGTTGTGCACAGTAACCGTGTGTTTACTTAGCCATATTTTCCGCGAAGATAACAGAATTCGCCCGTCTGGAGCAATCTTGCCTCTTTAAAGAAAAATGTAATCATTTCTTTTCTTCTCAGAACCCCTCTAACGACACTTTAGATTAACAACGACAGGACGTTATAAAAATCATAAATCTCGCTTGACATTGCAACTAACTATTGCATCCTAGACAAAGGGCACTACGTCCTTTTTTCAAGGTATAAATAGAGGTCGTGGAAGCGCAAAGCAGTACGGAAATCAATTATTGGAATCACCCAGTCACTGGCCATTGCGACTGTCCTCCTAGCGCTCTTCCATGGACAACAGGTCTACACTTTCATCGATATCTACCCGAGATCTCGTGGCCAAGCAGCTAAATAGCACTAAATAGTAAGTCGACCTGCCATTCCATCTGGA